TGGCACACAAGAGACTAGAGCATGGGAAGTCATAGACTTGGTATTAGAGATAGAAACAGGATAGACGCGGTGGCAATGGGAGCTAGTTGGTTGACAGTAGGTTTTACAAGATACGTGGTCCATGTGACAAGAGCCTGACCCTGAGACTTACTTAGAGGCTTTAGCCTCGAATTAGTCACTCAGACGCAGGGTAGGGGTAATAACACCTCGAGTAGCAGATAGAAGAAATACTTGAACCAGAGGGATCGCAGATGGATTCTACTGGACAAGAGAGAGACTGTGGTAAGACCTATGGAAGGAGGACTGCGTAACAATATGGCAGACTCTGATGGACATTCCCAGCACAAGGATGAAGGGCGATGTGAAGACCATTGTGGAGTGCGGAGGGTTCTCATAAAAGCCGCTATTAAAAAAAAGGGCACACCGTACCACATTTTATTAAGCAAGTAAAATATTGTGACGGTGACGGCGTGATTGGAAGATATAGGAAATGTGAATAGGCCAGGGCAGAATGGGAGATACCATAACAGTTTAGCACAGGTTTGGTCAAAAGATCGGTTTAGTTCCCGTTTTTCGAATTATTAAGCGATCTTTTAAGGTGGCCAAAGGTTCAATAATCTACATTGGCTGCAATAAAATTATCCTCGCGTGAGAAACTAATTTTTTTCTTTCATCAATTTTATCTTGGACATTTACCTGATTCATTGCATTCCCATACTGCATTTTTTTACAGATTTTTCTCTAAATATGCTATTTACAATGGGTATAAACTAAAATATAATCTTAAATGTGTTGCTTTTTTATGCTTTTCTTCAGTTGCCTTAAATAATTTTCATCTGTATAGATTACGCCACAAGATTCATACGCCAAGCTGGAGGATCAAATGACGCAACTGCTCCTGTTGATTTAGATTTTCATCCTAACTGTGTCAAAAATATATTCGATTCTTTAAACTTTCTTGCGTGCTGCCCTTGGCGTATAAATAAACCTGTAAGTTTTTCGATTGCATTGACGACTTTTTCCCTATGTGATATGCGATTTTATGGATACTAATTCTCTTGTATAAAGAGAGGCAATATTCTTTTCATCAGAGGTATTCAACATATTTCGTCTGTAGTGATGAAAGACTGATAGTAACGTTTTCCTACAATGATATGAATAGAGCTGATGTTTTCATTCGATTGCACCTCGTCTTGCTTTCCCATAAGGTGTTATCATTCGGACAGGAGTGGACTGCAGTTTCGACCTAGCCTAGGGCTTATCAACACCCCCGGCGGGGGTCGGACCATGATAGTGCAGCGTGTAATCTCGACATGTTAACCATGTTAACCAGATTG